GAGAGTTATAAGTATCATATCAAATTTAAAAATAAATTGTATTTCCAATGATTTATGAATAATAAGATTTATTAAAAATTTTATATTTTTTATTGATATTGGTTCTTTAGTTGTGTACGTACAATGCAACCACTCATATCATTCTAATTTTGTTTCAATGTGAGGCCCATAAATCAATAATATATCAATCTCAATTATTCAATTAAAATATTTTAGAACACAACAAGACATGATTGAATTCTTTGATGTATCGATTGAGAATGAAAATTTTTCAAAATGTGGACTTGAAAATTTGACTATTCAATCAGCAGCCTATTTAGTTTTGAAAAATGTTTTTAAAATCGGATCAAATATTAAATCAAAAACATCTGCAGTTCATGGTTTACATGATCCAACCGATAACATAATAATTAAATTAATATATATATATATAATAATTTAAATATAAGAAATAAATATAAAATTATCATTTAACTTACAAATAAAACCAAATATTTTAAAGTTGTCATGACTTAACAAGTCACATGATGCAATATGACATTAAATGATTAAAAAATTAGTCAATTTCTTTAAAAAATTGATAAAAAATTTAAAAAAAGAAGAGGGCATTTTTTAAATAGTTCAATTTTTGAAAATCGAATTTGATTCTCGACTTATTCCTGATTCCTAATCTGACCACCGGTCTAAAGTCGTTCAATCTGACTCAACTTTCTAAATAATGTTTTTGACTTGATCGAATCATTAACCTTACCAATCGACATTTAGACCGATCTGATTGTCCAATTTAGTACGATTTTTTAATCATTAGTTTTCAATCTTCATGGTCAAAAGAGGGCAAAAACCTGACTTGCTTCTATTGTGGCGCAATTTTAGGCATAATAGTTTCTTTTTACGGATTTTTTTAATGAACTAAAATTTATATTATTTCAAAAAAAGAACTAAATTTCTATACTTCTAAAAAATATAAAATATTTTTAATATTTTAAGATATAATTAATGTATTTTTTCAAAAATACCCCTAAAAATAAATTAATTTATATTTATTTTAAAATGAAACTCTATGTTAAATAAGGTTAAATATAAATATTGGATTTGGAGTAACTTGGGGAGTTTATTTTGCTTTGGGGCCAACATTTGGGCCTAATTATAGGAAAACATATGGGTTCAATTTAAATCGAATTATTATTTGATAAAAGTTGGTAAATAATATGCATGGCTTTGATAATTTTTTTTTGAAATTATTTAAATTCTTTAAATACCAATGAATAATTTTTAAAATATAAAAATATTTTTAAAAATTAAATTTAAAATATTTTAATAAAAATATATAAAAGAATATGTTATTTTCATTTTGAAAAATATATTTGTATTATAAAAATAAAAATGTTGTAATTTTTTAAAACATTGTTTATATTACTCTGAGTTATATTTCTATTATCGATGTATTACAGTGGTTAGATAGATTGAATTAGATCAAAAAAGTACCACTTGTGAATGGATTTAGATTCAATAAGTGTCTCAGACCTCTTCCTTCAATAATTGTCTTATATGATACTATTGAGATTGTTAATTCATTCAAGCGGATATAAAAAATGTAGGCATAAAATATATAGAGCAAACATCAAATCATAGCTATATATTTTATCGTGTTGTATTCTTTAATTTAACGATTTATACGGATTGATTCATAAAAAAGTTTAAGATTCATCCTCATAAAAATTGTTTTTTACTCAGTGTTTCATTTATTTTTGGTTAAACATTAATTTTTTTTTAGTGTTTTTTGGGCTTCGACTATTAATGTATGTAATTGTTTTTGGTGATTAATAAAATTGATTTTTGTTTGGCAAAAAAAAAAATGTGTGGACACTTACTGAGTGAGAGGTTTTGGGACACTCATGGAATCCACATCACTTGTGAACCAAATATATCAAAAAATGGTGTTAACTTTTTTATTGTTTTACGAAATTCAATCAATTGATAGGAATCAATGTCAAATAGTTTTCAAAATTTTAATGCCCTTCAATCATTGTCTTAAATGTCACTTCTAAATTCTAATTACAAGTGAAAGTCACTCAAATTTTTTAAGCAAATTATACATTTAAATATTGTGAGTAAAAATAATGACATTGAAAGAAGAATATTTCTATTTAAATCTAACAATGCTTAAATCTCATTTAGGCAATGTTTCATATCAAAAAAAATATTTTTTAATTGAAGGAATTGAATTAACTTATTTTGTGATCTCAAATTTAAACTATAAAATATATAATTATGTTAAATAAATACGTAAAAAATATTTTTAAAATACTCATGAAATCGTTGTTGGTAATAAAGGTTTCACAAAGTGTGGATTTGGGTTAGTTGGGGAAAGAGATAGTGATACTTCAGGTTCTACATGACATCGGGCAATGAAATAAAAAAAAATATTTTAAAAATGAAAATGAAAAAGTATATATTAATAGTATGGGATGTTGTGAGAAAATGACCAAAGATATTATTAGTGACCAATGCTTTTAATTATTTTATTATGAAAGAGTGGCTCCCCACATTAAATCCATAAAATTTGATCAGTGCGGCGTCACATTAGAGATAGAAATGGGTTAGGGCAAGCCTAATTAAACACATAAACATAACTTATTTATTTGTAAAAGCTCAACTATAGGCAATGGCAAAGCCACATGTAATAGGGAGGGTGCATGTGCTCCCCTCACTTGATAAAAATGACATATTTGGAGATATAAGTTTTTATATTTTACAATTTACATCCTCTTATTTTTATATTTTAAACTTTAAATCTATTTCAATCTCACTTTTTTAACTTACATCTATTTAATTTTTTAGCTCAAAGGCTCGTGAATATTAGTTCATAATTTTATTATATTTAAATACTAATATTATTTATTAATTATTTAAAAAATAGAAAAAAAATTTAATTAGACTAAATAAGACTCGCATCATCCTCGTTCTAGATACTACTAAAAAAGTAGTTAGAAAAAAGGCAATAACAAATGAAGGTTCAAGACTTAAGACTAAATTAGTTAAATGTCTTTCGCTAACTTGCTGTACTTACAAGTTTATAGTTGAACGTTAAATTGAAAAACAAACAAAAAGAAAGAAGGAAAGAGAAATAGTGGATTTGAAAGAGATAGAATGATCTTACTTCTACTGAGAATCCTGGCTTTGTCATTGCCTCTCCTAACCTAAGATCCTGACTCTGTCATTGACTATAAGTTTGAGCTAGACTCAATTTTTTATGTAAGTAAGCTCGATTGCGTGCTCATATGTCAAATCAAGTTTTGAACAAATTAATTTTTTTTGAATTTGAGAGCATATCTTGATCTTGGCAAGTCATAGGTCATTGGATTTTAACCTAAACTTTCATGTGGAAAAAAAATTAGGCTATAGATTCTTGAGCTGAACTTACTTTCACCCCTAGACACCACTTATTTAAGGCTATATTATGCTTGGTCTGTTTTTTCCTTCTATGTACGGGGAAACCACTTAATTTTTTTTGAAAAAACGTCATTGTTAGAGGATTTTTGGGCAAACGATGAAAAGTTGATAAAATTAACAGTTAATTATTTAAAATAAATACTCATGTCAAAGGTTATAAAATTACTTATTAATTATATTTGTTTACTATTTGAATTCATCCAAAATAATAACCAACTACATTATATCCTTGTATGAAGAGGACAATGAAATGATGGTGAGGTGCTAAAACATTGAATTAATGACAATTAATTCTTTGATAAAATTAAAAAATCTATGAGAGATCAAACTATCATTAATTTAATATTTTAAGATTTTTAAATGTCATTCTCCAACTAAGAAAAAGATAGAATGCGACTTATAACCAAGTGCATTCTTATTCCTTTGTGAGAAAAGGACAAAAACTAGAAAGTGATACATAACCAAGTAATTAACAAGATTTTTATGGCATATTAATACAGAGAATAGATCGAATGACTATTAAAAAAAAAAACCTATGTAATAATCCCTGAATTTTTTTCAATGAAAAACTCATATATACTCTAACATAATTGAAAAAAAACCGTTAAGGATGCATTTTGGAGTATAAGGATTTGGATTTTCCTATTTTATTATAATTTTTTATAATTTCAAATTTCTTATAAATTTTAGTTATTTAAAATTTCACCTATTTTAATTTTCTCATTTTCTTCATATTTTCATTATCAGAATTTTTATTCTTCTTGTCACTCCCCCATTGTTTTTGTATCTCACTGATCCAAGAATAGAAGTAAACACATTAATAATCTTCTATTTTGAATATCAAATTATATGTATTTTATCTTTAAAATTTTAAGTAGGAGATTTTAAATCTAAAATTTAAATTTAAATCTATCAATCCAAATGCTACTTACACGAACAAACATGAACTACGCAAGAAAGCACACTCAGTTTTTTTTTTTTTTGGGTAATATGGGACACGCAGTTTTAAGAATACCCGACATGAAATAGCAATAACAACACCGCAGTCAGAGGATGAAAGAATTAGGGTGTTAGAGTATATTGGGCCTCGGGCCTTATGTGCAAAGCCCACTTGAACTGTGTTAGCTATTCTGTTGAGTTTAGTGGTAACAAGATTAACAGTGTGATTAGAGACTCGTCTACCCTATAAATGTACTTCATGTACTCAGATTACGGTTGAATCAATCAGATCATTCTCAATACCATATTCTTTATTTTCTTCTGTTCTCTTCTTCATATTTCCTCTTAGAAGGCAATTAACATATGGCTGTGATTTTTTTTAATATGATCAATAAAACAAATAACTATTTAAAAAGGAATAACGCGAAAACTTTTCAACAAAACACTCGTACTTATAAATTAGTCAAACTTTCTTGTATTATTTTACCTTAAATTGTAATTGTAACAAAATACAATCACCAAATGTAATACTTCAGCCAAAAAAAAGGGAAAAAATTAAAAAAGATTGTGTTTCCAGAGGGATTATATTAGAAGTATAACATAGCAGATTCAACAAGATAATGGCATTAATCATCAATAAAATAAAATAAAAAAGCTTTTACATGACACTTAAAACATCTTTCCCATGATCTTGTTCAAGCCATAACCAACTTGAATCTTGAACGGCATGAATGTTCCCCAAGAGAGAGAATATTTTCTGAAACTCTTCCTGAAACACTTATCCTGGTACTTTATTTTTTTCCCCCAAAATTTTACACCACTTTCCATATAAAAAAAGAGACACACACTCACACGCGCACACACAAACATGTCAATATCAAATTTCAACATAACCTGACACCTCTTTCAAGTAAGGGATTGGAGGTGGCACACTATCACTAACAGAGCTTGTTGTTGACTTGTACTGACTAATTAACTGATAGCGATCACAAGCTTACTGTAAAACTAGTTTGACTTATTCAACAAGAAGGGATGGGGACCCCACAAGAGGAAGCAACCTTCTTGGCCCCAGGAGAGTTAACGTACTGCCTCAGACTAGGGTTCTTGAGGTACCCACACAGACACGGCTTCTGCTCCTTCAGCTTCTGGCAGCACTCGCTCGACGGCGGAGACGACGACGATATCGCTCCCATGCACGGACTCAGAGCCACCGGGCTGCAAGTCACCGCCTCCACCGTGTGTGGCAGCTCCACCACCACAAGGATCATCACCATCATCACCACCAGACACACACCCATCTTCTTCTTCATCATCGCCATTACTCCTGTTCTTCTCCTGTTAACTTGGTGTAGTGATGAAGTGGTGAAGATAGGAGTGATCTATGGCAGTTTATATAGAAAGAGAGACGATGTGTGGTTTGGTTTAGTGCTTGGAGAGGAAGAGGTGGATTGGTAGCGATAAAGGCGAAGAGGTCCCACAACAAGAAGAGAGACATTAAATGGAGTGTTCAATAATTCAATATAAACAATCATGGACGAGGAAGTTGATCCATTATCGTGGCTAGTGCCCATTGTTCTAATCCACTGTTTCATGCCATGGGAAGGTGGCAAGGTAAGGCTTCTTCCAATGATACTTGTTTTCTTTTTTTCTTTTTTAGGGAAGCAAATATCATTAAAAACTAAGGTTTTAAAAATCAGAACATTGAACTGAATAAGGAATTGGTTTAAGGGTTAATGGTTCAACTGTGGTCACTGATTTTTGATTAATTTAATATATTTTAAATTTTATATATATAAAAACCATAAGATAAATTCATCTATAATTATGACAATTAATATTTAAATTAAAAACATTTATATAAGAATAAAAAAATTAGAAGTTGTTTATAGTTTTTAATCTAAAATAGCATTATTTTAACATATTTCATTTTATCTTCTTATTTTTTTATAGGCATAAATAATATTATAATGAATGCATAGATAGATGTTTTTGTCTCCCTCTCATTCCAAATTGCTTCCCGCCTTCTGCTCCATTCTCAAACATATCAATATTTAATGATATTTAAATGGTGCCATTCACTTGGAAAGAGGAAAGAAATTGTATGGCAGAAAATTAATCCCTTAAACTGACACACGCGTTCTTTCCCTGTCATGACACATTCGTCTTCTTCTTTCCTTCCCTTCTCTTCGTTCCCGACTGTCGAGGGACGAAGGTTTTGTTGAACTGTAGCTTCACTTGCATCCTGTCTGATGGCTTCATTATTGTAGTTTTGTGACTGAAAGAACAAATCTAAGGTGATTTTTTACTGCAAAATGCATTCTTACTTGTTTTTTGTAAACCTCTTTCATCTTTCTGATTTTCATCTTCCCTCTTGCGCGTCTCAACCCTTCCCTGCATTTCGTTTTTTATTTCTGGATACCATCTCTTGAATCGGCCAAACCTCCAAACCGTTCGGTTTTCACGGTTTTTCCGGTTCGTTGACCAGTTTACTAGTTCTTGACCGGTTTGATTATCTTCCGATTTCCTTGTCTCACCCAGACCGGACTGATGACCGGTTCCCGATCCAGCTGGTTGAACCGGTCGGTCCGATCCGGTTTTTAAAATCTTGTTATTAAAAACAACGTAATTCTATTCCCTTAGCTACGCCAAATACACGGGAAAGAAAATAGACAACAGCGACAACAAAATATAGACAGAACCAACGACCAATAATAATAATAATAATAATAATAATAAAGAAGTATGAAGCATGGTGTTGATTCCTATAGGTTAAAATAATCCATTGTTTTTTTTTTTTAAAGAAAACAACGGAGATTTGAAGCCAGTCGAATCTTCTTGAACCAGTCAATAGGGATGAAATGCTATCATACTCTCTCCTAGCCTATTGATATCATTGCATTAAATGAATATGTTTTAGTCATAAATTTGATGAATGATGATGATTAGCGAAGTGGAAGGAAAACGATGATAGCTATATAAATGGAAAAGTTTCAAATCCTACTTGAGTTCTCTGCCCAATATGTTACTTCTTTGGTTATGAAAAAAGTGGGCGGCTAAATTTTCCATGAAATCAAAGCTTTCAGTGAATCAAGTGAGACAAATTTTACTACTTTTTTTATTAAACATAATTAAAAACAAATTAATTTCTTCGATCATATGCAAAACACTTTCACGATACCTATTCTAGGGATAAAAATGCGATGGCCTTGCGTTATCCTGTCTCTGGATTCAGTTGTTGCTTCTGTCTGGGTGGTCCTTATCCACATTGTGTTATCTTGTCTAGAGTTTGAAATTAATGAATCTAAAATTATAAATAGTATTAATGAATTTTATATTTTATATTAATTTATTGATTCTTGATGTTGATAATAAACACAAAACCCGATCATATATAATCTAATTTTGTTTCTCTTATTTTCCAGCCAGCCATATATTATATATGACTTAGTTAATCAAATTATTGAAAATTAGAACAGTAATTGAACTTGTTGAGGTATAGAGACGATAATTTAGGCCATACTTGATTTATTAATTTAAGTAAGCTTAAAAAATTTTAGGGTGAGGCTTGAGAGTTTAAAATATTTTCTTTATTTCAAGCTCATTCAAGTTGTCTAAAAAAATTCAGGTCAAGTCCGAACACTAATGGGCTTAGCCCAAGTATCCAAAATTGTTTAATTATTAATAAAATAATATAAAAATGATATAAAAATTAAATTTTTTAAAATAAAAATTAAAATTACATAAAAATAAAAAATATTAAATAATTAGGGTATTCAAGCTAACTCAAAAGTGACTGTTAAGGACTAAGTTTGGTCATATAAATTTTTGATATGTTAGAGTACTTTAAATTCAATTTAAATTCAGCCCAGCTCACTAGAATGATTGGCTCTATTGAAGCAGTAGTTTAATGACCAATTATCCAACTGTAGTAGAATTGGGCCAACTTGGGCTGGGTTTGAATACCATATTTAAACATATGTTAATATGAAATAAATTATTGTTAAAATAGGAATATGAATTATATTTTGTCAAAAAAGACTTATTGTTAGTTTTTATTTATGAATAATTGTTTTTAACTGATTGTTGGATGTGATTTTTTTTTTTTTTCATTTGGGCCTCGTATTCAGTAACCTATTCATCGCTTTTCATTGTTTTCGGCTAAGGGCTTGCTTCTGTGGTGGCGTAACTTATTGTATATTTCCATCTCAACAAAATTTATGTATATAATATCTGGATTAAAAGTTTAAAAAATTAAGTTATACGAACACGTGGCAATATCGAATGGTGGCATTGGGCCGGTAGCTTGGCCCAACTCTGTGGAAAACATGAGGATTTAATTTAGGGTAAATTATTTGATAAAAAATAGAGTAAAATATACGAAGTTTTTAATTTTTTTTAAATTATACAAGTATAATAAATATTTATCTAAATATTTTATAAAATCATAAATGCATATTTTAATTAAAAATTAGCGACTGATATATTATGTAAATTTTAGAAAACAGTTTCATATCTTTATTAAGAATTTGTGTAATCTCAAAGAAAATTATGCATATTTCTTTTAAATAATCTTAATATTTCCAATGAATAACTATGATTATATCAAGGGAAACACATATTAATAGTGTATATGAATTCATGTATAATGTTTATTTTTAATAAAATATTAAAAATAAATTGTTTTTCTACGTATTTAGCTACATACAATATAAATTTTACAGAAATTCCTATCATTTATAAGCTTCTGCTTAAGTGACGTGAAGCATTATAGTCCAAAGAACTGGCCATCGAATCGGTGGTGGGTGAACTTGGAAATAACGAAATATAGTCCAAATAATTCCATTCCATTAATTCTCTTTTCACGAGTTTCTCATCTTGTTTACTTCGAGAAATTAAAGAGCCGTTGATCCATGGCTTTATCTTGAAAACTAAGTTACTCTTATCGTGTGTTTGGTTTTTCTTTGAACAAACGTCAGTTTATCAAAAGTTTATTTGATAAAAATTAATTTAATAAAAGTCAGTTATTATAATAAAATTTATGTTTAAATATATTTATTTAAATATCAGTATGACAAATTAAAAGTTGTTTGAATTATGTATAATAAAATATACTTTTAAATATATAATTATAAATAAGGATGTTGACTTACAATAATTTATAATTTTTATTATATAAATATAATATATTAAAAATATTTAAAAATATGATAAAAATTTTAAATGACAAAATTTGATATGTTGAATAATAAAGAGTAGAAATTAATATCAAGTTTGATATATTGAAAAAATATATATAAATATTTAATGTTCATTAAAATAAAAAATTTAAAAAGATACTTTTTTTAATGGTGCCATGTGAAACTAGAAGGAAACAATAGAAGAATTTGAAAGAAAAGGAGATCTATAACCAAACAGCATTTGAAATGGACTTTTTAAAGGAAATCTATAACCAAATAGCAATTGAGTTCAAATTACATTTAAAAGAATTTTTTAAATGGTGAAAGTGAAAACTAAATGGCCCTTAGTTTCGTATTTTTAATAATGATATCATATATTTGCCTTCTTTATTATTATGCAATAATAATGTCATATATCTGCCTTATTTACACTGTTTTAAAAGTAGGACTAGATATTGAATAGGAAATGTTAGTGATTATCAATTTTTTATATGATTTAATTGGTTTGACTAATAGTTGGACCAGTGTTGTAATAATTAAATAAATTAAATATAACAAATAAATCTATAGTATGCCTAATTGTTGTAATAAAATAACATAATATAACCATAAATTAATAATATTGTAAATTATAATTTTATAACTTGTTAAATATAGATGAATCTTGATTAAATTAGACATGAGTAGATTCAAAAATATCTACATTTGCATTTATAACTATTAATATTTTTATAAAAAATAATCTCAAATCATATTTTATATATGTGAATTGTCTAAAAATAAAGTTGGCTTTTAATATGGATCTAATTTTTAATTTTTTTGAATTTAAAAAAATTTAAAGCTTTTTTCAATATCATGTTTAAAACTATTTAATTTTTTAAAAACTGCTCCAATTTTTGACTTAATATCAGCTCAACTCCAGTCAAATTCTACTCAATTATAAAAAAATTTTTTTAGTTCAAACTGAGTCGTTAACGACTTCGGTTGAACTAATTTGATTGTCTGATTCAATCCATTTTTAAAACATTGCATTTATAAGATTCACTTATTAATGATAGGGTAATAGGGTTTTTAGGCTTGCTATTCTACCTTTGCCTTTTTCTTTTTTACCACATTATTACCTTTGCTTATTTATTAATTGAAGGAAGGTTTTTGATTGAATAAGAATTTAAGTATTCTTTTTTTCAAGCGTTGGTTGCGC